AATGTATTTCTTTTGTTGATTTTATTATATTTTACTGATGTATTTTTCTTCATTTATGTTACCAAAACATATCATAATGTAATGTACACTCGTCATTGCAGGACGTGTGTGGAAATGCTGTGAAACTGATCACCTCATGACTGTGTTTTAACAGGTACATGTTTTATTTTATATATTACTGTTTTAAATATGTTTTATGTTATATTTACTTTTAAAATAATGTTTAAGTAGGATTCGCGCCAGCAGAGAGAGTGGTTGGGATGGGACGTGTGTGGAAACGCTGTGAAACTGATCACCTCATGACTCTGTTTTAACAAAATTAAATAAACCATCTGAGGCGCGAGATGGAGTCGAATCTTTTAATTTTCAAACACGACGCAGATACAAGCCATTACAATGGTGCCGTGACCGTGACTCTGGAAACAGCGTGCTGGACCGACTGATCGGAGGTTTCCGGAGGTGTTCGTGCCGTGGGTTTCGAGGACTTTCCACGTGTCGTAGTATCAAAGTGATAAATCCTTCTGAGAAAGCAGTTACGTTAAAAAGGAATTCAACACTTGCAGATGCTTTTCCTTGCATGGCGTTGCAGGATTTTGACTGCTCTGAAATTCCTGATGCTTGCTCATTTGATCTCGAACAGAAAGTTCAGAGGAAAGCTGATGCGTTAACTGACGGACAGGGAGAGATGAGTGTGACAGATGCTGTAAGCTTAACCAAGTCTGGATCAGACGACTCACGTGCTGTTGGTGATTCGTCAGTTTTACATGATTTGGGTTTAACTGACTTGGATGTGGAGTCTTGCAATGTGTCTTTTGACTGCAGAGCAAAACTTGTTCAACTTATCTCTGAGTACCATTCCATCTTCTCAAAACACAAGTTGGATTGTGGGAAGGCTACTGGTTTTGTGCATCGCATTAAACTGAGTGATGACAAGCCCTTTAGGTTACCGTATCGTCGCCTTGCTCCCAATCAGTATGACCAGCTTCGTCAAGCTTTGGATGAGATGGAAGAACGTGAGATTATACGAAAGTCCAGTAGTGAGTTTGCGTCACCGCTTGTCTTAGTCTGGAAGAAGTCAGGTGACTTGAGAATATGTACAGACTTTCATTGGATTAATGCTCGCACAATCAAGGATGCGCATCTGCTTCCCCACCAAGCTGATGCTCTTGCTGCGTTGGGTGGGAATGCTTATTTCTCTACTATGGACCTTACATTGGGCTACTATAATGTAGAGGTTCATGAATATGACCGGAAATACACTGCGTTTACATCGCCCTTTGGATTATATGAATATAATCGTTTACCGCAGGGTCTGTGTAATAGTCTAGCCACCTTCATGCGGATGATGTTGACAATATTCGGGGATCAAAATTTCACAAGTCTATTGTGTTATCTGGATGATGTCATGGTGTTTGCACCTACTGAAGAGTTGGCGTTGGAGCGCCTGAGAATAGTGTTGGAGCGTTTGAAAACGCATAATCTCAAGCTTGCTCCAAAGAAGTGTCATTTCTTGCGGAGTTCCGTGAGATTTCTGGGACACATTATCAGTGCAGACGGTATTGCTACCTATCCTGAAAAAGTCAAGACTATTACCTCTGTCACTGAGGGTGATCTTATGGTTGAGGGTACCAATGTTCCCAGTCAGCGGAATATAAGGTCTTTTCTCGGCATGGTAGTATTTTACCAGCAGTTTATTGAAGACTGTTCGTCTATTGCCAAACCGTTGTTCAATCTTACCACTGGAAGGAAGGCACCTCGTGGAAAGAGGAAACGTCGAACGTGTCAGAGTGAGTTGTCAGCTTTAGACTGGACTGAGGAATGTAGTCAAGCTTTTCACAAATTGAAGCAGGCTTTGCTTGATCAAGTTGTGTTGGCTCATCCAAATTTTAATGAGCCCTTCTTGCTTTCAGTACATGCTTCAAGTAATGGGCTAGGGGCTGTATTGTCCCAGGTTCCAGCTGGTGGAGCAGTGGCCAGCCCGGTCGCTTCTGCAAGCAAGTTGCTTACCTATGCCCAGTCTAGATACCCTGCACATCGATTGGAGTTTTTTGCTAAGAAATGGGCTATTTGCAACAAATTTCATCACTGGCTCAGGGGTAAAAAATTTACAGTTTGGACGGATAACAACCCATTGACATACATTCTGTCGAAAGCAAAATTGGATGCTTGTGAAGACAGATGGGTTGCGAAACTAGCACCGTACGAGTTCGATATTAAGTATGTTCCTGGTCCAAAAAACGTAGTTGCTGATGCCCTAAGCCGAGAGCCCTTCGTGCATCCTAGCATACTCCATTGGCTTACGAGAGTTCCTTATTGTGAATTATTGGCAGAGGCTGCTGATGTACACACAAACCATGTCCAGGATGTATTTCGTTGGTCGACTCATCCAGTGGACAGTACTCCTGATACTGAAGGTGTGACCCATTGTTTGTCAGACAGCTAAAGCCTCCTTATCTGGCACGATGTCAACGCAGGAAGTAGAAGCTGTTCTGTACTCATGTCGATATAGTGATTCAAACATCAGGTCGCATTCTTTGTTGTTGCCTACCCTTCCACAAGCAATAATACCAGCTGAGTTAACTGATGTTAATGTGATGTCTCATGACGAGCGAATGAAGAGGCAACAGGAAGACACTGTATTGAGCAGAGTGATTCGCTGTGTTGGAAGAGGACGGAGACCTAACAGGAGAGAAAGGACGAATGAGCCAAACTCTGTCCTGAAGCTTTTGAAACACTGGGGAAAGCTGATAGTGAAGAATGGCGTGTTGTATAGAGTTTCAAGGCCTAGTGTAACCAAAAGGAAGACTTATTTGTATGTCGTGCCTGATGCGGTGAAAAACATGGTGTTGAAAGGTGTTCATGACCAAGCAGGACATCAAGGTCAGCAGCGGACTCTGTATCTGGCTCAGCAGAGGTTTTTTTGGCATGGTCTGGAAAAGGATGTGAGAGAATATGTGAAGTGCTGTCGTCGATGTGTAATTAGTAAGACACCAGAACCAGATGGTCGATGTTACGATGGAGCCTCTTGAACTAGTCTGTATTGATTTTTGGTCAGCTGAGGACTCTTCCAACCGGTCTCTGGATGTACTTGTTGTAACCGACCACTTTACTAAGATGACCTGTGCGTTTTTGTGTCCAAATCAATCTGCCAAGGCTGTGGCGCATCAACTGTGGCATAACTATTTCTGTGTTTATGGTTTTCCATGCAGAATTCATTCTGACAGAGGAGCTAATTTTGAGAGTGCTCTAATAGCTGAACTGTTAGATGTCGCTGGAGTTCAGAAATCCAGGACAACTCCATATCACCCGATGGGAAATGGAGTGTGTGAGAGGATGAATAGGACTTTGGGTAGTATTTGGGTGGTGTGTCTTAGTATGATACGTGCACTACCAGCAAAGACTAAGCAAAAATGGCCTCAAGTGCTCAAATCTCTGACTTTTGCTTACAATTCCACCGTCCATGAAACTACGGGGTTTTCTCCTTTCCAGTTGATGTTTGGGAGAATTCCGCGGCTGCCGGTGGACCTGGTATTCGAGACTGTTCTGGACAACCCTGATGTTGTGAACTATGACAGTTACGTCCAGGCTCTTCGGAGAGATATGAAAGAGGCAATGCATGTTGCACATACATCTGCTTTGAAACAGCAGAAGAGACATGCTGACTTGTACAATAAGAAGGTCAGAGGAGGACCTATTGAAGTTGGTGATCGAGTGTTACTTGCTAATAAGGGAGCACGTGGTAAACGGAAGCTTGCTGACCTTTGGGAGGCTGCGACATACACAGTTGTTGGACTTAACAAAGAGAGTCATACTTACAGAATTCAGCACAGCCGTACTGGTGTTGAGAAAACTGTGCATCGTAACCTTGTAATGCTAGTCAACTTTCTTCCAAATGCTGATGATGCTTCGGAGGATGAAGTAACAGGAAGTCATCTGAGTGACTCAGAGTGTGTGGATTTTGTGGTTGCTGATGTGTCTGATGTTGCTACTAACTACAGGACACAAGAATGGGTGTCGCAGCTGCCTGCTGATGGCATGAACGGCTCAGAAATAGATGTTGTGGAGGAATCTGCAGATGTTCTTGAGCCTGAACAAGCTGTAGATACGGCTTGGTTTGATGAGGTGGAGCAAGATGTGAGTAACTGCTCTGATGTACCTCAACTGGGACCAGAGGGTCTTAATGATGTTGTGAGTGTGGACAAAAGTGTTCCTGAAGCGGCTACAGGTCTGGTGGAAATATCTGTACCTGTTCCCTTGAGTGCTGCGAGGCCTAGTGGTAGTCACCTTGCTGAAGCCAACTCCGTGGCCAATTTCAGTGTACGCACATTTCCTGTTGGAGGTTCACTAAATCGTGTAAGATCCAGAGCGGGAAGACTATTCAAACCAGTTACAAGGTTTATTGAGATAATTAATCAGCAGAAAGGTCTGGGGTGAACATGTGTGAGTTGCTTAGTGTTAAGAAGTAACTGATTTTTTTTTTTGCTATAACACGCTGTGTTGTGTGTTACTGTTACGTTGTGTGTAATTTAAGCGTAATTGTAAGAAGTGTACTACGCTGTCTTGAGACAGGTGTTATGTCTATGTTGTGCAAGATTTGTGTGTCCTAAAGTATGGAGTGTAAGTTATTTAGCTAACATGTAATGGGCATGTTTGTCTATGAGTGTTTAGGGGATTGGCCGTCCTCTCATCACTTTAATTCCTGTGGGGAATAATGTATTCATTGACTGGAATTTACAATTTCATGTTGTTGTGGGCACACTTCATTTTTTTTTTCTTTTCTTTTCATCAATGTATATGTACCTGGTGTTATGTTGTGGTCAGTCATATTCTTGTGATGGTTTTGGTGTTTATGTCTTGTATGGGTGCAAGTGGAATTCAGTAGGGGGGAGTGTAACAGGTTCAGAAAGATGTTTCCACTTGCCCCTTCCTTTTTTGGTTTCTATATGTGTATAGCCCTTTAAATTGTGGTAGATCCACCCTTGCTATCCATTGGTTGGTGCCATGAGGGAAACTGTTTCCGGCTGAATCAGTAGGATTCGCGCCAGCAGAGAGAGTGGTTGGGATGGGTGAGTGCTCCGGGAAAAATGTATTTCTTTTGTTGATTTTATTATATTTTACTGATGTATTTTTCTTCATTTATGTTTCCAAAACATATCATAATGTAATGTACACTCGTCATTGCAGGACGTGTGTGGAAACGCTGTGAAACTGATCACCTCATGACTGTTTTAACAGGTACATGTTTTATTTTATATATTACTGTTTTAAATATGTTTTATGTTATATTTACTTTAAAAATAATGTTTAAGTAGGATTCGCGCCAGCAGAGAGAGTGGTTGGGATGGGACGTGTGTGGAAACGCTGTGAAACTGATCACCTCATGACTGTGTTTTAACAGAATTAAATAAACCACCTGAGGCGCGAGATGGAGTCGAATCTTTTAATTTTCAAACACAACGCAGATACAAGCCGTTACACTGGGGTACCTCTGGCAGCTCTGACAGTGGACCATAGGGTAGTCTGCTGTCCATGGCTACCTGCCGCATCATCACCTCAGCCACCCCACTCTGAGGCGGCACAGGTCTTCCGTGAGGTGCGGGTCCTTTGATGGGGAAATACCCATCAAAATGTCCCCCGTGTGAGCAGCGTGGTCCTCCTGGACCTCGGGCTGTTGCAGCCAATTAATTACCACGTTAGGCAGACCGAGGTATTCACTGAGTAAAAAAATCAGTGTGGCGGTAGACAGTGGAGTTTAATGGTTTTATGCCGTAGCTATTTTGATTCTTGATATAGGCAATTTATTTTTGTCTTTATTCTGAGACCTCCAATAATTCAATGCAATAATTTAAATGTCTTACTGAATTGTATATATGCAAACAGGGAAGGAAACCCTGCATTTGCATTTTGTTTTGACCACATTGCTTTAATAAACGTGTTCATGACATCACACATGTCTTTAATTTAAAAACTGAACATATAGCCCACTTTATAAAGAATACAGAAATATATATGATGTATCGCTATTCTGCCTAAAAATATCAAGATATGATTTTGGGTCCATATCACCCTGTCGTACCATCGGCACCCTGCATGACATCCATGAAAATCTTGGGCCCACCCGTCAGATTTTTTCTGTTGCCAGCACTCCCGTGTCCACTCAGGCACTCAAATAAGGCCACTATTCCTTCCTCTCATCTCCATTTTCTTCACTTTCCAGCCTAGAAGAGGTCATACAGAATTATTAGTGAGTTTTAAATTGGGCTGCATAATATATCGATTCAGGGCTGCATCTGCAATAATCGCATCTCATTTGTCAGCACTGTTTTGTATCTGTTGACACAACTTGCAGCAACACCACCAACTTATTTGACACATTCTATTGGTAGATCATAAGTTCTATTTGGCTATAGTTTACTTTGGGTAATTTCATCGTCTTTTTTGTTTTACAAGTATTGCAGTGTTACTTACTTAAATTTCACATATCACAATGTGATATCCTAATGTGATACTGGCCAGCATCACTTTTAAATCTTTTGTTAAGTTCAGCAGATCTTTAGTCTCTCATTTTCTTGTTTATCACAACCTGTTAAGTTATCATTTCAATAATGGTTGCTAATCTCTGAATGTTGTACAAGTGTTGATCTGTTTTCTGTTTATTGCATGCATCTTTCCCCTCAACATAGTTTCAGCTGCATCAATAATGCCACTTGTTAGTCCTTAAGAGAGGGACTTTCCCTCAAGCAAAAGAATTATCGGGCAGCCTGAAGAGTTTTTTGCAGTATCCAACTTACTTAAACTTCCAGCTACACATAATAATGTAGAATTCCTCCATTGCTCTTCCATAACTGCCTATCTAAGCACATAGTCTGCAGTGTCTACCAGTACACACAATGGGCAAGGTGCCAGGTCTTCGCAAAGCACCCCCTTATAAACCTGCATATTTTTGGCCAGGGGGAGGAAACTAGAGTTTCTGCAGGTAACCTGTGCAACCATGGGGAGATCCTGCAAACTCCACACACACAGAGCCACACATACAGAATTCAACACCCCAAGCCTGGTGGTGTGAAGTTACAAGAAATCAAGCAGATGAACAAACAAATGAACAAATAACAGACTGTAAGGAAAATGCTCTAAGACGCAAGTGCAAAGCAAGCAGGTTTTGTGATTTAAGCCAGGGATGACTAAAATAGTGCAGTTAATGTAAAGCATTACCAAATATTTTCCATATATACAACCTGTCACGCCCCCCTCGTTACCTCGTGTTACTTCCGGATTGTAATCACCTGTTGCTTGTTTAGATCAGCCTGTCTTGTGTATTTAGTCCGCGTCTAAGTCAGTATCCCTCAGAGCTGTCATTGTGGTGTTATGTTCCTTGCCGTGTGCCTCTGTCTCCGTACAAATAAACCCCGTTTGTCCGTCTTTACGGCTCCACTCGCCTGCTTTTCTGCTCACCAGCTTGCAAACATGACACAACCCACCAAAACTTTTACAAGCAGTATTTAAATCCAAGAGGATCTATTGCTGGTTGAGTGATGGAAGCCCACCAAGAATTGCTTTAGACCAAATAATAAAAGTAAGTTATTTGTTAAAGGAGTTCTGACAGCCAAAGTTATAGTGTTTCAGAAGGAATCAAGCTGTTTGATTGGCATCTCTGTGTTTATTTTGGCCTCAAATCCTTCTATTTTAGGATGTACCATTTTTCTTTTTCTTTTTTTTATTGCCCACCACCACCACCCCTCTTCAGAGGACAACTTTATTTTACATTACATTAAAGAGTAAAGAGTGTGGCCACTCCGAACTCACCCGTCCTAGTACCGTGATTATAAAAAAATTAATAAATCAATCAAAAAGGGGGGGGGGATACAGAAACAACAATCGTAACAATAACAGACATTAATCACCATGGGGAGAGGGGGAGGGAAAAAAAAGGAAAGAAAGAAAACAAAGGTATACAGAAATAATAATAATAATAATAATGAAGGTAGGATGGAGAAAATTAAGTGTAGGGGAATACAGAATACAAACAACCATAAGAAACATAACACTCATTACAAGGACATCAAACAACAACAATATCAATAATAATAATAATAATGTTACAAATAGGTATTATATACACTCACCTAAAGGATTATTAGGAACACCTGTTCAATTTCTCATTAATGCAATTATCTAATCAACCAATCACATGGCAGTTGCTTC